TTCCAGTTTCATTGCACTGTGGTCAGATAATGTGCATGGGATAATTTCTGTTTTCTTGCATATACTTAAGCATGACCTATGGACCAGTATATGGTCTACCTACCATTTTCTTATACACTGTTGAATTACTCTGTGAAACAGTTGTAGAAATTTGCACTCCTGGTAATGAGTTTCAGTTCTAGTTGCTTCCTGTTTTTACAAAGTTGAAAATTTTTGGAATATAATTTTTGCCTTTACAAAGGCTGTGAAATACTGATTAATTGGTGATATAATTGAACGGTTATTTTCATGTTTATCGGACATTCATGTGTTCAGTGACTTACCTCTTTATGTGCTTAACATGTTTGGGATAATTTAAGTTTTTTTTGTCTTCGAGACAGGGTCTTGCTATGTAGTCCCGGCAGTTCTTGAACTCACTGTGTAGCCCAGGCTGGCCCCAGATTTGCAGTGTTCCTCCTGCTCCAGCCTTCAGAGTGCTGGAGTTACAGGCGTGCATCCCCATGCTTGGCAGTTTGTCTTTTCTTCCCAGACCTTTTCTGTAGGAATCTCATACACACCCTTTCATTACAGTCATTTGAAGGTATCTTCCAGTTTGTTTATTTTTAATCATTTTTTTATTCCTTAAATTTAACACTAAAAAATGCACAAATTATAAATGTGTAGATTGGTGGAAGTTATCACAGAAGGATAGACATTTGTAGGATTTTTGTTGTTCTAAGACTTTATGATCATGTATGCTACTTGATTCTGACAGGCGCTTGTAGCTGAGTATCTCACCATTCTGAGAAATCTTAGGTTATCTTGGGGTCAGTATGTCTCAGTCCTCAGTTTTATCTTTTATTTTTATTTATTTATTTTTATATATTTGCTACAAGGTCTCATTACACAACTTGGAATTGTAGGGATCTGCCTGTTTTCCGGTTAGCCTCCCCCACACTGGGATTACAGGGGTACGCTGCTGCCCTCAATCTTGGTGGCCCGGTCACTGTGGTGCCAGGGATTGAACCTCAGTTCCTGCACTTGCCTCAGCTGACCCTTTTATCTTTGCAGAATTAGTTATTTTAAGGTGTTACACTGGATATTGATCTCTAAGTTGGTCTTTCTATTGTGGTGCTTTCTGTTTTCTGGGAGATTCCCTCAAATTTATCTTCTACTGAACTTTGCATTTCTTTCATCATATTTGTCTAGGATCTTTCCTCATCTGTAGTCCTCTCAGTATTTTTTGTGCTTGTCTTTGTTTTCGTTAGTCATGTTAGACACTTTCTCCTCCAGCTTCAGTAGTGCACTGTGGTCTCCTCATATCCAACATGTGGGACTAAATGTGTTTTTGGAAGCACTAACCCTGTGGGAGGGCTTCGAGCGTTTTCCCTGCAGGGTGCGTCTGGCTGAGGTGCTTCATGAGGAAACTTGAGTGAGCCAGAGCCAGCACATTTGGTTCACCCTCTGGGATTGTCAACTTTTGTGAACTTTTCTCTTGATCTGCTAACTAGAGAGAGAAGGTCTGGCTTGCTTGGTTCTGGAATCTGAGTCAGAGTACGGGGTGGGGGGGGGGACTTCATGTAGCAAGCATTCATTCATATAATGCTCTTTGCTCTTGGTGTGCTTGCCCTTCACCCACACTCCAAGCCATGCTCAGAGCCTTTTCATTTGTCCTTTCTGGAGAATAAGCCTTTGTACCTGTTGCTGGGTGCAGTAATAGGTGGCCATGTCAGTTATGAATCTAGGTGTGTATGACTTCTTAAGCAGTGTTTAAATCAGTCTCTATAGTAGCCCTCATTCATCCTTCCGGGAGAATTGTACAGCACTGACTAGGTTTGGCTCCACGCTGACTGTACTGCTGACGTAGGAGTACATTTTCTCAGATCTATGAAGTCATTTCCCACGTTGCCAATACTTCGTTGCTGTTATTTTCTTTATGGGCTTAAACTTTTGAAAATGGGTTCTTTATGCAACTTGTTTTGGTGGGGTTGGGAAGAGAAAGAAAAAAGATCCATATGTTCAGTTTACTATCTTTTATCTGCAAGCCCTTTCTTTACAGTCCCTCAAACCTAAAGGATTTGTTAGTGACTTACCCTGTGTACAGTATTGAGCTAGTTCATGGCAGGAAGTTTTCAAGTTAGGCCTGTAATATTATTTCCCATTTGATCTTTGTAGCTGCCTTAAGAGATATCGCTGTGCCCCTCATGCTGCTGAGGAAACAGCAGTTAAGAATCTGGGAGGTTGCACTGGTGATAGAGCTCAGCACTACAGTACCTGCCCAGCAAGTGCAAAGTCCTGAGTTTGATTTTTGGTACCCAAAAATAACTGAGGGTTCATCATGTTTGTCCTAGTGATGACGCTCACACTTGCACATCGGTTTCCTGAGGCTAGTACTGTTCTTGTTTCATTCCACGCACATTGCCTGCTACTCACTGTTGTGGTCATATGGCATGGGGTGGCTGTGTTTTCTCTTGGGTGCTGAGGTTATGCTGTACACAGAAGGCTTCTTTCGTGCAGGTAGCTTATGTCTGTGTTCTGTGGTCTGTTCCAGTGTAAGGAGAGGATGAGGCCTGTGAAAAAGGCACTGAAACAGCTGGACAAACCTGACAAGGGACTTAATGTACAAGAACAGCTTGAACATACACGGAGCTGCCTGCTTAAAATTGGAGACCGGATAGCCAAGTGCCTTAAAGCCTACTCAGACCAGGAACACATTAAGCTGTGGAGGAGGTAACTGACCTTGCCTCTCATCTGCCCAGTTGGATTTGACAGTGTTTGGGTGGGTTTTGTTTACAAAGAGGAGGCAGAGCTACCTAATGAAAATGTTTTTCCTGATAGAATTCATCTGCTATCAGCATACCTGCAGGTTTCAACTTTCTTTTCATGAATAGGCAGTCCACTGAGACTAGGTTTTTGAAGGGGGAGGATGATGTTATTAATGTCATTTATAAAGAGACAGTGATGCTGGATTTGTGACCTATTCTATAAGATTCTGCCTTTTTTTTTTTTTTTTGGCTGACTCAGCCTGCCTTAAGGGCAGGGCTGGCACAGCATGTGGTGCCAGGGATTGACCCTTAGTCCCCTGCACCTGCCTAAGCTTGTCTAAACAGGCCCTTAAGACCACTGAGGTCATCTCACTGGCCCCGAAGAGTCTGCCTTTAAATCTGTTTGGGGGATAAATGATCTAGTGTAACTGCTTACCCACTGTGGGTTGATATTCAAGTATTATGTACCTACTACAGCTAATTTATGGGTTCTGTACCAGTACACTAGGTAAAATAGGTTAAAACCACTAATAACTATCAGTTCTCCATTCCTAGGTCTAAAAAACTCTGGTAGACAATTGGATTGATATAATTTAGTTTGTAATGCATGGTTTTTATATTTGTTAGTTTATTTAGTCTTTCATATTTGATATTTTATTGATTGTGTTGAGGATTGGTGCAGACGATTCTCTCTGTACACAGTTCTTAACACACGTACCAAAGAAAGCCATGTATTGTTTTTCAGTTATTCCAGTGACTTTCCAACTTCAAATTTGGAGGTAAATTTTCTGTAAGAGGATCAAGTTCTAGTATCTTAAAGTGTTTATTTATACACAGAAGTTTTGAGTGTTGTCTGAGGTCCTTGGCAGCAGACCTGTTTCCCATTTTAGAATATTTACACCTATTTAACAGCATATCTTTGGGAATGGGTTCTGAGTCTAAGCAGAATTTGTTCATTGATATTTCATATACATGTTGTACATATAGACTGAATGCTTGTGCTGCATGTTTGCTTTGCCTGTATTTTGATAGTGACTCCATTGCAGTAGATCAGGTGTGGAATTTTCCGCTTTGCTGTCAAGTTGGCACTCAAATGGCTCAAGATTTCAGATTGGAGATGTTCAATCTCACTTTTGATTTTTTTTTTTTTTTTGAATTTTTTTTATTTTAGGGAAGGGTATATAGGGTGTTCAGGGTCTCACTACTAGATCTGACTCATAGTGATCTGCCCTGTTTACAGCCTCTCAAGAGCTGGGATTACAGGCACAACCCTGCCCAGTCTCAACTGTCCTCAACTTGCCCTGGGGGCGGGGCCGGCATGCAGGCCCTGGGATCGAACCCCTGGCCCCTGTGCCTGCTTGCAGATGCTTTAATCTGCTGAGCTATTTGGCTGGCCTTACTTTTGATATTTTGAGAAGACATTACTGACATTTCTAAAAGACAATTCTAATACTAAGTCTCTTTCCATAAAACTCAGCTACTTTGAACCTGTACACTTTGTGTTCAGTGCAGTTACCTTTCTTCCGCCAGTATCAGTGATTATTATTTATTTAAATCATAGTCTCATTATGTAGCACAGCTAGTGTAAACTCAAAATATTGTCGCTTCAGCCTCCCAAGGGCTGGGATTATAGGTGTGCACCACCACACCCAGATTGGTTTGCTAAATGAAAAATGGATTTAAGAAAAGGTATCTGTATCTGTCATGAGGCTTCTTCTTCTTCTTCTTCTTCTTTTTTTTTTTCTTTTTAATGTATTTGGTACAGGGTCTCACTATGCAGCTCCAACTCATAGTGATCCTCCTGTTTTCTGCCTCCCAGCACTGGGATTACCTGTGTGCATCACAATGCCTCCTGCCTGCTCAGCTAGCCTGGGGGCAGGGTGCACAGCATGCGGTGCCAGCCATTGAAGCCATCCCTGTGCTTGCCTAAGTGCGTGCTTAGTCCACTGAGCTATCTTTCCAGCTGAAGGCTTCGTTCATGAAGCTCTCTTTAGTATGCATCACACCCATAAATAAAATTTTTTAAATGTTACTGTTTTTCCTCAACGCTGTTAACAATTTCTTTCTTTACCTAGCCTGTATGGGCTTCCTATTTTTTACCTGAATAGAATATAACAGGTGTCACCCTAGTACGTAGATCCATGAAACCAGGCTCTCCCTAGTGTACACTTGGATCTGCTTTTGTGACCTTTGATACTTGGCTTTGGCTCTGATACTTGACCATGGCTAGCAGTAGTTCATAAGAAAGTCCTTAAGCATCAAAACTAGTATAAGGCAGGACTACTGGGAGACTGGCCACCATAAAGTAATAAACAGAAGATCAGGTATAGAAATTCCAAGAAGAAGATGGCTGCACAAGGATAGGCAGGGAGGAGATCTCCCGAGAGGCAGGCAGATGCCTTCGAGCTGCTTGGATGCAAGCTGGTGACCACCTGCTCAGCAGAGTTCTCAGGCTTCAGCAAAGGCTTGAAAGTAAGATGTAGCACATGCCTGCCGCCACAGCATCCAGAAGGCTGAGACAGGAGGGTCTGAAAGTTGGAGCACACCCCAGGCTGCAGAATGTATTCAAAGCTTGTATAACTTACATGCTAAGACTGCTTCTTAAAAAAAAAAAAAAAAAAACACCAACAACAAACCTCCACCCTACCTCCCTAAGGAAGGAAGGAAGGAAGGAAGGAAGGAAGGAAGGAAGGAAGGAAGGGACAGCGAGATTGAGAGGTGTTCAGGGCTTAAAGGCAGTTTGCTCAAAAGATTTGTCCTTTTCCCCACAAACTTTATAAAGATGTTTATTTCCCGTAAAATTCTCACCCTGTCAAATTAAAAAATTAAGACACAAACTGGTTTACATTTTTAGAATAGATCATTCCCCTAGTTCCATTAAAAAACAGTATAAATACAAGCAGTCTGTATATATTACTGATGAATTCACCTAATACTTTAGTTCCCTGATCCTTTGACCTTATCTCTGAGGATGGGTGGATGGATGGATGGATGGATGGATGGATGGATGGATGGATGGATTGATTTGTGGTATGGCAACTGGCCTGGAAGTAGAGTGGGTTCGGGGGCTTTGGTGTGATTTGTCTTCACTTGTCTTTGTGGTCCTCTCCCATCACTCCTAACATGTGAAGGCTGACATTGAAGCCCCTGAGCTTTATGGCTTTAGCTTTTTTTATTTTTTATTTTTTATTGTCATAATGTTTATGTTGTGCCACTACTTACAGAACTAAAATTATATACGTGAAAGATTTGTATTACTTCCCCAAAAGACTGACTTTATAGGAGGGCTTAGAAAGCAAAGCCTTCTACCTGGCACAGTAGGTTTATAGTTAGGGAACCTGTACAGATGCTCTGTCAAGGGCAGGGTGTGGAGAAACTGCCCACTAGAAAGCTTGCAGAGGTGCCTCCACAGCTGCCTCTTCTGAGTACCTGTATGACTCTGTACCTTCAGTGCTGTGCAGTGATGGCATTGGAAGGTACCACTTAGAGTCTGAGAAGTCCAGGCTTGGCGGGGATAACGGGGAGGAGAAAAGGGCAGCAGCATAGTGGCGAGAGCTGAGTGGAGGGCCCAGCCGAGGACAGAGTGGTGGGGATGGGTGTGTGGTAGGCTCAGAAAGTGGGGTGTTGGCGGCAAGCTCACAGGCCTGCAGCAGCAGGTACCCTTGATACAAATTAGATGGGCTTAACCATTGACAGCCCTTGTCTCAAGACTTCTTAACCAGACTTTTGATAGCATAAGAAGAGCTTTACAAATGCAAAAACTTGAGAAAGTTTTCATAACTTCAGTTTCTCTAGTTACTCTACAGGCTTCAGCAAAGGCTTGAAAGTTTAATAGCTTAGCATGCATGAAGTGGATACAAAATTACTGTGTTAATTTTCTAATTTACCAGGACTGTTACTTTTTTTTTTCTTTTTTAGAAACCTATGGATTTTTGTTTCTAAGTTTACAGAATTTGATGCTCGAAAACTACATAAGTTATACAAGATGGCTCACAAGAAAAGATCTCAAGAGGAGGAGGTAAAATGCACATTTAATGCTAACAGCAAGAGCAGGGATGGTCACAGGGCTGTGGCTTGTTGCTGGTTTCTTCACAGATGGAGGAGCAGGTCCAAGTGGGGAGGTGAAAGCTGCCCCCAGATCAGTGTGCGTATGGCCTGCAGCCCCTCTGACCTTCTGCCTTGAGAGTGCGTGCACCGCGTAGCTGCACAGGGTCTCAGTCCACCAGTGCTTACTGTGTAAAATTAGCAGTGCGTCAGAGCCAGTGTTTTTAAATCCCGAGAAGGATTCATTACCTGCTGTTCTTATATTCTGGACTCATTTATTAACGCCTCCTCCTGATCCATGTGCATGTGGCTTACAGTGGTTTGACAAGGTGGCTTCAAATAGGAAACAAAATTGTGGGCACAGGATACTTCTCCTATTGTTTTGTGGGCTGTGTGCTGGGTGTCCCACACATTCGTAATTAGAGAGTCATAGTGCTCCCAAAAGGAGAAGGTGCTCCTGTGGCGTGTAGGCTGGGAGCCAGAGTGGCTGCTGCAGAGCCTGTGCTCCTTATACACTGCGGTGTCAGCTCCGGGAAGGCAGAGAGAGTGTTTCACCTACTGCTGTGGGCTTAGTGTGTGCAGTGGCGTGAAACGCAAGATCAGCACTTGGATGTGTTTATTATGTGAACTTAGGCTGTACCCAGGGCTCTGCTAGCCTGGAAAACAATACCTTGAGGTAGTTTACAGCTTAATTTTATACAGAAGATTATGATACATTATCATCTAAGGATAATGTACTAATATTACTATTAGTGCAGATTTATACATTATAAAAGTCTGTGAAAGAAACCAGGACAGACCAGAAAAGGAAACAAAATAGGAAAGAACCTTAGGAGTTTGGATAAATATCTGAATTTGGGGGCATAATGATAAAGAGCTTCATTAATTATCAGATGTTAGTATCGTATAAAAAATAGTGATATCCTACTAGTAGGGGTATAAATTGTCATATTTTTGGAGGATGGTTTTAGAGATAGTTCAAAAGAGAAGAACAAAATCCTGCTTTTAGCAGTTTAGTTTAGGGGGCTGGGGAGATGGCTCAGTGGAATAAGCACTTCCCTGGCAAGCTCAAGGGCCTGAGTTCAATCCCTGGTTCTGCTAAAAAAAAAGCGCAAAACAATTTAATTTAAGGGGATAGTTAAGGATTTAAACATTCTTAAAAATGACTTCGAAGACTAACAAAAAGAAATAGGTTAGATTGTGATACAGCCATATGGGAGTATAATAACTTTATGTGGGATGATTTTTGCAAATATTAAGTGAAAGAAGATACAACACCAAATGATATTTTTGTATTATAATCAATACAAATATACAAGAAAGCTTAGAAAGATAAGAACTTAATTATTAAGTCATTCCCTTGGCGATTAGATTTTAGGAGACTTTACGTTTGTTTTTTATTTTTCATATTGAGCATTTTACGTGGGTGATAAAAGAGGGGGTTACTCCAAGCCTTTGATCTCTAATGTGATGACTTGGTGTAGGCACTAGTTCTTTCTAGGCATTGGGGCTTGGTCTAGGTGGCCTGCTAGAGTCGCCGGTCCTGGGGGAGCTGAGAGCCTGACCTCATGTTCCACACCTTGTGCAGGGGCAGCCACCAGTGCTGCTGTCATTCTCACCAGAGCTTGCCGGTTGAGTTTGGTTTTCCCACTGGGCCCTAGTAGGTTAAACTCTCCTAAAGGATCGCTGTTAGGCTTAAGAGCTCATTGGAAGTGATGAGCATATCTTGTGAAGAAGGCAGTAAAACTCAGGTCAGAAGTCAGGAACAAGTAGGAAATGTTTGTGGAGGTGAGGGTCTTTATTCTGTACTCAAATTAAGCATGCGATCTTGAGCTTTTTGGTTTTCCTTTACAGGAGCAAAAGAAGAAAGATGACATGATTGGTGGTAAAAAAACCATTTTGACCAGAGGCCTCCAGCTCCAGTCGGGATTCTCTGATATCTCAGTCTCACACCTCGCACAGCCTTCACCCTCAGAAGCCTCATTTGCCTGCCTCCCATGGCCCACAGATGCATGGACACCCCAGAGATAACTACAGTCACCCCAACAAGAGACATTTTAGTAATGCAGGTAGACCATTCAGAGGAGCTTTAAAAGAAGGGCCCAGAAACCCAGTCATTGTATTTTCCAAAGACCATAATTAGACTTTTTTTTTTTTACTTTGTTCATCTCCAGGACTTGATTGTCCCCTTTCTTGATGAGATAAGCGTGAAGTAACGATCCCAATTATTCCCAACTTTCAGAAGAACGTAGCTACTATAAATAAGAGTTAGTAGATGGAGGGAAAAGTGTATATTCTGTGATAGGTAAATGGTTAAAAATGCTAGTATAAAGAAGTCTTATGGGGCCTGGAAGATGGGTCAGTGGAATAAGTGCTTCCCTGGTGAGCGCAAGGGACTCAGTCCAATCCCCATTTCCGCCAAAAAAAAAAAAAAGTCTTGTTAAGTTGGTGACAGAAACATAATGAAATAGAGAAATAAGGGAAGGAGATTGAACAGAGTGAAGAGAACAACCTATGCAACAAGAGGAGACAAAAACTGTATGTCTGATAAAGGGCTAAAGGGCTGGGGAGATAGCTCAGAAGGACCTGAGTTCAATCCTTGGTTCTGCCAAAAAAAAACCCCAGACATCCAAAGGGTATCAGGAACTCAGTAGTAAGAAACCAACCTGATTGAAAATTGGGCAGAAAAGGGCTGGCCGAATAGCTCAATGGATTAAAGTGCCTGTAAGCAGGTGCAGGGGCCAGGGGTTCGATCCCCGGGCCTGCCACGCCGGCTCGCACCTGTAATCCCAGCTCTTGGGAAGCTGGAAACAAGCGGATCGCTATGAATCAGATCTAGTAGTGAGACTCTGAACACCCTGTAGGCCCTTCCCTAAAATCCAAAAAAAAAAAAAAAAAAAAAAAAGAAAATTGGGCAAAGACATGGATAGGCATTTCTCAACAAATGGTGTTAAAATTTTTGAGATGTTCTAAGTTGAGTTCCAGGCAGAGGATAGAGAGAGGAAAAAGAGAGGCACAGGTGATTTTACCTCACAGCTGTAAGCTTATCAACAAAGCAGAGTAAAATGGCTGCTCCATATTCTTTCCTGCATGCTGAAGATTACCCTACAGGGCCATTCCTATGCTGTTTTTGGAAGCAACCAACCAACCAAACAGCTAGCAGCCAGCCAAGAAGCAGCAACATCTTCTCTTTATGGGCTAACCTCTTGTCCCAGGACTTTGCCCACTCACTGTTGTTCTGCCCCTCTTGGAGATAATCAGTTTAGGTTCAGTGTAAACAATTTTTCTTCTCCTGGAATTTTATTTTAAAACATCCTAGCCCCTTCGGTCCAGTGAACTTTTCTAACTGCTCTCTAGCCAGGCTGCTGATGGCTTACAAGAATTTGCTCCAGGACTGGTCCTTTGACCTTTGGGCTAGCTAGCATCTGTACAGCTGAGGTAACCCTTGCCTTCAGATATCTCTTTAGTTTCAAAAATTTAATAGAAGGCATATAATGACCAAGAAGTGTACAAAAAATGTTCAACATCACTGTTCAATGAAATATAAATTAAAACTACAAAGAAATGTCACCTTACACCTGCTATCGTTTTCACAATGATAAAGAGGTGGAATGATGTGAAGAGGCAGCCTTTGCAGTTTATGGGAATTGAAGTTGTGCAACCATTGTAGAAAAGAATGTGGAGGTCGCTAGTAAAACTTAAACTTGAGCCACCACCATATGACCCACTTCTCTCATTGGGTATACATTCAGAGGAACTGAAATCACACACACTGCATCCCCCCTGGAAAAGGTGCTGCTGGGTTTTCATTCCATCAGCAGTGGCCTTCCTAGGCAAGGCCCAGATATTTCTTGACTTCTGTACTCAGAATCACAAAGCTCTTATGTCGCTCCTGTATAGGATGATTGAGAAATAAATATATCCATGTTCTTAGACCTAGTTATATTAGGGATATTTGTCTTTTGATATTAGGCTGCTTTTGTTATTGTATGATGTTGCTTATTTGTATTCTGAATGTTTCAAAGTAGCTTCCTATTTAGTTGCCAGCCTTCTTTTACTTTAAGCCTTGGATTTCTTACATAACCCTTTAGCATGTTTAGGATGGGAGTGTGAGTCGTGTGTCTGCTGCCAGGCAGTGTGATCCGTTGGTGCGGTGGGTTCAGGACTGTGCCACGTGGACTTCCAGTGTTACAGGCTGTCTGTGTGCTGATGACTCAAGCTGGAGGGAACATGTTAGTAGCTCAGTACTTTCTAACCCTTGACCTACATAAAGAGGATTGAAGAAGAAAGAAGCAGCAGCTTGATTTATTCCAGAAATAAATGATTTGGCTTGAGTTGTAGGCATCTGTGCTGTACCACGAACATTAACACTATGAAATCTTTCCATTTGATTTGAAACTCTCTTCAAATGATCTTTATTTACATGTTTACATGTAGTCTTTTGTTGTTAACTTTTTAAAGTTAAATAGTCAAACCTTTGTGGTCCTCTGGTCTGATCCACTGGGACCAACAGTAAACCTAAGGCACTGGTTGATAGTGCTTTCTATTAATGGATCACAGTCTGAGATGCATGAGTTCTGTGATGGCATAGCCTGGCTGTGAAAGGAATGTGAAGAGGCCAACAGAAGTGAGCAACGATGTTGGTTTGGTGGCATGTTTTTGATCTTGACGAAAGCAGGCAGAAGATGAGTTTTCTGTGATGCTGCATAGTTCCTTCTCATTAATCCCAGTAGTAGTTTCTTGGACTACGTAAAATGAAGTTCCGTGGGTTGAGCGGCTTAATACTTCACATTTTACATCAGACATCTGAAATGGAAATGTCTGCGGAGTAGGTTCCTTCTGGGGCTCTGAGGGTGTCTGTTACCACAGTTTTCTTACCTCCTGTCTTGCTGCAGTGCTGGGCCTTCCTTGACTTGCAGCACCTGTGACTTTACATGGGATCTTTCTGCCTTTGCAAAAGCTGTCATGCTGAATTTAGGGCCCTGCTTAAATCCATGCAATCTCACCTCCAGGTCCTTAGCTGCCTCTGTAAGAGCCCATTTCCAAGTAGCCACAGGCTCTGCTGGACATATACTTTGGGGCTGTAGTTCACTCAGCACAGCCTTCATCCCCAGACTTCTGCGTCTCTACTACCTCTCCTAAGTCTAGTGTGAGTGGTTTTCTTAGGGCAAAAGGGAAGCTGAAAAAGTTAAATAGATTTTAGTTTGTCCAAATCCAGTGTTGAGGAATTACTTTTCACAGGAGATGGGAGGTCTGTTTTTTTGTTGTCTAGGGAAGAGTAGACTTAGTAAATATGGTGGAGGGAGATTTTCAGAAACCAGGCACAAGTTACAGCAGCCAGATTAAACTTTGGATGTGTGTCTAGGTTATTATCTTGCCACTTTAAAATTGTAGTACAGGGGGCCGGGGAGATAGCTCAGTAGAATAAACACTTACTTGGCAAGCCCAAGGGCCTGAGTTCAATCCCTGGTTCCGCAAAAAAAAAAAAAAAAAAAAAACTCCAAAAAACTGTAGTAATATTTTCCACACTACTGTTTGGGTTTCGTTTTTTAAGTAAATCTTTCAAGGGTCTGCCACAGGTTGGGAAGTAGGCAGGTATAGAAAATGGAAAGCAGTAGTTCTTAAGATGTTAAGAGAGGATGGGGTGAACGAGTTTTCTTGTGCCTGGAAAGTTGAGGGGAGTGGAGAATGTTAGGTTTCATTACTGGTGTGTTAACAAGCAGGACGAAGGTCAGAAAGGAAGAAATTAAAACCATGGCCTTAAGGTGTGTCAGCCTTTCAGTTCAAACTTTATTGAAAGTCACACTCAGCCATTCCTGTAGTCATCCATCACTTTTCCTGCAGATCGAGGAGACTGGCAGAGGGAAAGGAAGTTCAGCTACGGTGCTGGCAATAACAATCCACCCTGGGGCAGTGACCGGCACCATCAGTACGAGCAGCACTGGTACAAGGACCACCACTATGGTGACCGGCGACACATGGATGCCCATCGTTCTGGAAGCTATCGGCCCAACAACCTATCCCGGAAGAGACCGTACGATCAGTACAGCAGTGACCGAGATCACCGGGGCCATAGAGACTACTACGACAGGTGTGCGGACTGTCTAGGCGGGAAAGATGGTGGCGTGCACACGTGTGTCTGTCTATCAGATAACTAACAGGATGTCTTACCTTGTATCAGTCATGGTCCCAAGTCTGACCAGTCGTCACTGCTGCCCAGGCATCTCCGCAGAGTGGAGAGGAGTTACTCACTGTGTGCTGGGCGATGGCTGGCAGTGCAAATTTTGAGATTTTCCTGGGATTGGGAGTTTTATTGTGGGCTGAGGAGGAGGAGAGGCCAGTGTTCCTCGATCTAATCCTGAGAGTCAGACAGAGAGGAGTGGAATAGACGCCCCAGGCTCAGGCCAAGGAAGAGCTCCCACCTCCGAGGTGGTTACCCAGAAGATGAGCCGGCGGGATGCATGCCAGGTTATTGGCTTTATGTTTTATTCTGTGGGTCATAGGAATTATTTGTGGTTTATTTCACCTGAATGAGAAAAGTTGCTTACTGCCTTTTAGGAAATCTACCAAGAGGTAGCCATAAAATCCTGGAGCCAGCAACAGACCTTGTTAAGCTCTGCACAGAGCTCTCACCATGTTGGGCAGCAGGGGTTCTGAGGTGGCCCCACCCCGCGGTCTCGGGCTCTGCCTCCTCGTGGCAGAGTCAGAGCTGGCAGGAGCACCGCCACTGGTCTATGTGGTGAGCCGCGGATTTAAAGTGTGAGAGGCAGCAAGTACGGAGAGGTTGTACGTGTTCCTTCTAAACGTAGGACTTGGCTGTTATTTAATCTCTTAGTACTTCTGGTTTTCTCTGGGCTGAGGCTTTGCGCTGTTTGGATTGTTTTTGAGTTTAAGGTGGGGTGTTGTGTACATACTTGTCAGTGTCCTGGTGTCATTTGGAAGATTTGGAAAGCCAACCTGTGTGAGTTCCGCAGCAGCCGCTGCCACCGCGCGCACCACTGCTGCCTCCTCTGCTGCTCTGTGTCCGTCTCATCTCGTGTCCCTCTTCTTCTGCTTGAAGAACTTCTTTTTTATGGGTCTGCTCATGATACATTCTCTTACCTTTGGTTTTATGTCTAATGAGATTATTGTGCCTTCCTCTTTGAAAGATGTTTTTGCTGGATGTGAATCTTTAGATTAACAGTTTCTTTTTTTTTTTTGTTTGGTGGAACTGGGGATTGAACTCAGGTCCTTGCGCTTGCCAGGGAAGCGCTTATTCCACTGAGCCATCTCCCCGGCCCAGCAGTTTTTTTCAATACTTTATTATTACTGCATCATTTCTGATGAGAAAACTGTCATTTGGCCTGGGGATGTGGCTCAGTGTGCAGTGCCTGCCTGGCATTCCTGAAGCTGCAGGACTACCGAAATCAGAAAGATGGCTGTTCCTTGTGCCACCTTTTTAATACCTATTTATGACACTTATTTTTTCTCATGTTTCTTGTGCTTGAGAATTGCTGAGCTGCTTGAATTTGTAGATTTATCATATCCAAAGAATTTAGAAAATTTTTCAATATGCATATATTCTTTCTGCTCCCTATTAAAATTCTAGTTTTACTTACATTTATTTTGCTTGATGTATTCTCACAGCTCATTCGAAATCATTTCTTTTTTCATTTTGGGGGTAGTTCCTGTTGTACACCTTTCAGCTTACTAGTATTTTCTGTCTTAATGTCTAAGCTCGGGGCACCATCCAGGATATCTTACATTTCAAAGATGGTAGTTTTATTTCTAAAAGCCCTAAAAGTTGTATTTGGGCCCCTCCTCCTCCTTTCTTCTTTCTTTTTTTTTTTTTTTTTAAATCTTCCATCCCTCTAACTTTGCAAAATTTGGAATATAGTCATCAAAGCTGTTTTTTTTTTTTTTTTTTTTAATGGCAGAGGTTTTTTTTTTTTTTTTTGCTCCGAATGCCTTCAAGGCATGACTGGCTGGCTTGCGTTGTGGGGATCGAACCACAGCAACCTGAGCCTGACTGCTTGGTTGAAGCAGCCACTTAAAGAACTGAGCTAAGGGGCAGGCCTCCATCATCAAAGCTGTTTTAATGTCCTTGTCTTCTAGTTGATTCTGTACTTGTGAGTTGGACTTGATAATTGGTCTTCTCATAGGCCTTATTGCTCAGGTGCTTTCCATGTCTGGTAGTTTTGATCAGATGCCAGGTAAAATTTACCTTGTCGAATGCTTTTTGTACTTGTGTGAATACTGTGAAGCTCTCTTATGAGCACAGGTCACTTGGGAGCATGATTCTTCCAGTCTTGCTGACAGGCTGTTACGCTCTGAGGGCTGGCTGTGGTCCGCCCCTGCTGCGGGCCCAGGGCCCCTTCAGGCTGGTGAGGACAACTGTTGCCTCTGCTGCCTGGCCTTGGGCGGTTTCCTCACATGGCCCCGCAGCATGCGCTTCAGCTGTGCACTCGGAGGGGCCCTGCAGCTCTGCAGGCTCTTCTCCCTCTGTGCAGAGCTCGCTGCTGTTGCCCTTCCGCCGCCTTGGTCCCTTGGCAGTCTGTGGCCTCCCTACCTCTGTCTCTCACGTGGTCACAGCCTTGGAGGGTTGAGATGGGGGCTATTAGAATACTCATCTTGTTACTTTCCATCCCTCATGGAGCACGGTTCTTGGTTTGTTTCTTAAAAACAATAGGTCTGGTATCGTTTTGTTTTGGTGTTCTCCTGCTTGTTCAGGCAGGAGGGTATATCTGCCCCTGTCACTCCATCTTAGCTGGAACCTGACTGGAACTCAGTGTCTCACTCCATCTCTCTCTCTCTCTCTCTGAAATTCACACTGTATAAATAACCATTTTAAGTGAGAAGTGCAGTGTCATTGGTGCATGCGTGGTGTTGTGTGGTCACCTCTTCTGTGTAGCTGCACACCACTTGATCTCCTCAAAGAAGCCCCATGACGGGGCATGTGTTCCTTCTTCTTCTTCTTTTTTTTTTTTGGCAGAACCAGGATTGAACTCAGGCCTTTGCGCTTGCCAGGGAAGCACTTATTCCACTGAGCCATCTCCCCGGCCTCCACACTTCTATAAGTGGTTGTATTAGTTTTCATTCCTGCCAGTAATGCAGAAGAGTTTCTTTTTCCCTTTAGCATCACCAGTAGTTTTGTTTTGATTAGTTCTTTTTTTGATGATAGCCATTCTTTTCTGGGGTAAGATGGTGTCTAAGTGTTTTAATTTTCATTTGTCTGATGGCCTGAAATGATGGGTGTCTTGGTCACTTTTCTCTCATTGCTAGACAAAATATCTAACACCCAAAATTAAGGTAGGAAAGGTTTATTTAGCTCACAGTTGGTGGAGGTTTCAGCCTATACTTGTCTGACTTCAAGGCAGAGTGGCACATGGCAGCGGGCAGCAGCCCGTGGTGGCAGAAAGCAGCAAGAGCAGTACGCCTCTTTTCTTTCCCTTATGCTGTACTCAAGCTGCCTGTCCCCAGGAGGGTGTGGCACGCGCACCAGTAATCCCAGCATTGGATCATGAATTAATCACAAACTTGATAAGCTCCCCCCATGACTGTGCATGAGGCTTTGAGGGACATCTTGACACAAACCGTAACAATGGGCATTCTTTTCATTTATTGGCCATTTGTACTACTTCTAAGATATGTCTGTGCATTTTGGTTGCCCATTTTTTGATTGGTTCTTTTTATTTTTTTGATTGGTTCTTTTATTTTGGGGAATAACTAGCAAAATTTTATCTTTTTTTTTTTTTTTTTTTTTTGATACTACTTGGCATAATATTTTAATTATTTGACACCAGTAA